TGCTGTCACACTGCAAAAAGTGCAAGAAGTTTGTTTTGTTCGTAGTCTAAATATCTAAAATGTCTTATATCAAGAGAAATTTTCTAGAAAAGCAAAACATATTGCTTTTATTTGAGAAATAATATGCCAATATTAAGTGAAATTATCTTTAAAACAAGCAAAATAATCTGCCAATGGGGTAAGCAAATTAATCTTGTTTTTTCTTTTGACGTAAGATTATTTTGCTTACCCCATTGGCAGATTATTTAACTTGTTTTAAGAAAAAACTCACTTAATATTGGCATATTATTTCTTAAAACAAGACAATATGTTTTGCTTGTCTAGATAATTCTATATTTAGGAATTTTTAGATATTTGGACAAGATACAAGACAAAAAAATCTAAGCAAGAAAAGCATTATTTGCAGTGCAGTCGTGCGACTGCCACTACGTTCACTATCTCAAAAGAGCATGCATTCACTGAGATTAAACTATTGCAGTGGGCGAAATCAGATTTTTTTTGCTTTTTTGTTTTTGTTTAGTGTTGATTTCGATTGCATAAATCTGTTAATATGAAACTTGTAGTATTGGTGCTCATAATTGTTGGTGGGTGCGCTTAAATTTTGGCTGGTGCGCCTACATTTTTTAAGTTAGAGGCGCCGGTGCTACCAAGCAAAATGGTTCATTTCGAGCCCCCTACTTGCTCTACAAACACGTGTGTGTTCATGACTATACAAATAAAGTAGAATGATATAAGAAGAAAAAATCTGTTTGCAACATCAAGCAGCACAATTCAATTCATCTTTATTTCTATAGCTCTTTTACAATGTAGACTGTGTCAAATCAGCTTAACATAGAGGTTCTAGTGAATTAAAACTGTGTCAGTCCAGTTTTCAGAGTGAAGTGTGAGTATGGCCCCAGCGGGTGTTCAGGCTGGCCCACGGGATCATTGCACATCTCGTTTGTCACTGGGGTCTTTCAGGAATCAGTCTCATACTCTCAACTCCTCCATGACCACCACAGCAGCTGCTTAGGATTCTGCCTGGTCCAGGATTATGGATACCTTGGCATCATCTCTTTACAGGTCTTGTCACATCAATGGCACTGCACAATCTCTAGAGGCCTTGAGATGAGTACAACCCAAGCTCATTCTGAAAACGTAGTCCCGCGGACGTTTCTGGAGAGAGCGGAATACGTCCCGGGGGATATGTACGGCTGCGTGTATTTTTTTCAAGCGAACGCTGCGGGGCGGTTTGACGCTGTTCCCTTTCGCGCTTGCCTTACCTCCTTGTGGAGGGCTTCCCCGCTGCAACCCGTTTGTCCACTCAGCTCAGCGTGTACGTCGGCAGGTTCGAGATGCAGAGCGGAGTCGACCACGTCGACCGGTTTCGAGTCCGGAGAAGAGCAGTTCCAGCAATCAGGTAAGACAAAAACAGAATCCCAAAAAGTAAGTGAACGAGTTTCGTGACAGGGTGAGAACGCGGTGAAATCCAAAAATGCGGTAGAATAAAAAAAATCAGGGCTTTTATTTTTTTGGACGGCTTTTGTAAACTGTTTCTCGGGTTTAGGGAAGCTAGCGGGCGGGCGGGTGGATCGGTAAAATTGGTTGGTTTCAGGGAAGGAGGAGGGCGAGTCGGCTGATTGGCCGGTTGCGCAGTCAATCATTCGGTCAGTCGGACGGCGGCCTCCAGCGGGTTCACGCGAGAACAGCTCACGCTCGCGAGAGGCATCTGAGGTGCGGAAAAGCGCGCAACAGCGGCCTCTCGCGGATTCGCGAAAACAAAAACTGCAGCCGTACGTACCCGCCGGGACGTATTCCGCAGTCTCCAGAAACGTCTGCGGGACTACGTTTCCACAATGAGCCTGGGTTGGATGAGTACCCCTAGGTGGAAATAGAGAATAGAAATTATTAGCAGGGCTGCTTTTTCATAGTGTATTTAAACAAGAGATATTAAATATCAATGCAAAAATGAAGTGCTATTTTGAATTTGGACCACAATAACTATTTCAACCACTTGGTATCAATCCTAAATTCTGCACCTTTAAATATTATTAATGTATTGTATATTATACTGCTTCAGAATTTGTCTTCCTTGTATCATCACTTCTTGATTCATCTTCTCATGCTGTCTATGTAGGGAACTCACTACAATCTAACAGAACTGGTCAGATACTGTATTAAGGACATTGAAGCACTTTCAGGTCGGCTTGTGAGAAGAACACGTCTGTGTGATTTTAAGGATATTTCATAGTTGTGATGCTGGTGTTCAGGGCTCAAATACCGTGAGCCATTGTGACCGGAGTGGCTCTCTGTCTGCAGACGTCTCTCTCTGTCAGATACACGATTCATTTACTGGGCTTTCTGGGATTTGCTTGTGTCTTTGGTACGATACCAGCTCTGCTAATTCACAATCAGAGCTAAAACCGATGAATTATTATCTTGAGTTGATGCATTTATACAACTGTGCATGCAAAAACATACTTCAAATGAAGTAAAAACAAAACATTGTTATTGGGTTATTACAATTAACATGCTGCATATATTTAATCTGCAATGGGTATTATTATAATAACACGGAGATAACAGCTAATGTAACATTTAGAGCTGTTAAAATGCTTCGGTTGAATGAAAAATGTATTAAAAATGACATTTGATAATCAGTTCTGGTAACACATTATGGCAATGTCTCATTTTTTAACGAGGTATTTCCACTGATTGGCATTATCTAATTCTTCTGCATCATTTATTTAATTAAATATTTGTTTTAAGATTAATTCATGCATTTTTTATCAGAAATTATTGAATATTGCATTTTGGAAGTATGCTGGTAATGAATAACTAAGGTTGACAAATGAGACTTGTTGTTGTAGTGTTGTCTATTGATTTTTAAAATGTACAATGCTCAGCATAAATGAGTACACCCCCTTTTTAAAATGCATATATCTGCGAATATATGTTGGTGCATTTAGACACAACAGTGGTATTAAACCGTTACATCCATATATAAAGATAAGGTCATCTAACAACTCAGATAATGCATTAAAATTCAAATGAGTTCTTGCAAAATAAATGTAAATTATTAACCAAAATGTTGTTGTTTTTTTTTTGTATTTAATAGCGTATTATTTATTTAATAGCACCCCAGCATGTTAATTTGACTGTGCTCATTTTTAAACTTCGGTTTCTTTATTAGATTTGTTCCAGTTTTTGTCTTTGATGCTAACTAATCTGATGTATATATGAGCAATATCACACTCATAGCAGCTGATATGTCTGTATATCAGCACTGGTGGAGATGTGCATTTCCTCAGGCCACAGGCCGAGTGCCTCAGTGTCCCACCAGTGATGATATACAGCCATATGGCACTGCTAAGAGTGTGATATTGCGTTTATACAAAAGTTTGATGGCATAATCATGTGTGTAAAAGAGAAAATCAAACATGGAGAGTCTCAAAAATCCTTTTGTAAGATGAACTACTTCCTTTATTCATTCACATCTGCAGCTGACGTGAGAACAGCAAAAACCGCTACCCATTCACCAACGTCACTTAAGAGCTAGTACATGAATGATTCTCTAGCGTAATGCCTAAAGTGATGACAAAACAGCTGATTTTGCCCACACTTTAAGGTTATAAGGCTGAACAGCATGAAATGCCATCAGTAAACACCTTAATTATATTATTGTCTATTAAGGCAAATAACTAGACTACAGATGTCCATGTAAGCGTAGTCAGGAGTGTCTCCAAAGTAAATGAAAGATCCAGAAGGGCATCCTGCTGATTTGATTCAGAAGCTCACTTTTTTGTCAGACAGGTATAATCAGGCATACAGACAGGTATAGTCCGGTATACATCCGTGCTACAATAGCAAGGTGAAAGTCATCATAGCTTGCATAGAATAGACCCAGCTCCCAACCCAACTTTGAGAATAAATTAACGATATTTTTTTTAATTGCGCAATTAGAGTCTCTCGTTAACACAGATAATGACCCACCGCTACTATAAACACTGCACTACAATGTACAAAAGAGAGAGATCGACTTACAATGTCACTTACCCGATCTGTAATTATATTTTTTCAGCTGTAGTTTGAAATTACGCTGAGAAAATGCAGTTTTTCTCCCCTAAGGCATTATGATGCATTCTCTGTTGCCATCTTGTAGCAGAACGTCAACAGTCTTTGCTCTGCTCAGTATGACAGTCTGATAGCCATCAATGTGCTGAATCTCAGATATGATAAATATTTAAAATAGGCAATCCTTATAAATAAACTGCATAGTTGCAATCTAAACAACTACATTCTCGCCTAAACAAAGCCTCAAAAGTGCATTATGTTGTCCAACAGCTGCAATATTTGACTGTAGTTCTCTGCTTGCCACTCATGTGGGCAGACAAGGGTGAAGAAGCTGTACAAGTGCTGATATTACTTTAATATCTCACAGCTGTCAGCCAATCAGGTTCGAGAACCAGACAGAACTGTTGTATAAGCACAAATATAATATTGTAAAGCATCATATTAAAAGAGAGATCTGTGTGAGGTGTACTCATTTATGCTGGGCACTGTATATTTGATGCACTGAATGCTTTTGTATCATGCACTGAATTAGTACATCTCTAAATTTTACTTTAGCTTTGATACTTTCTATGAATCTTAAAATGTGTGCATAACATGTCACATTTTCTGGTATCGTACCATTTCAAGGAGCATTTTCGTTGTATATTTCAAATGAAGTCACCTTAATTTATATTATGCAACTTGGACTGCTTCAGATAAATAAACTTTAAGTAACTAAATCAATGTTAATGCATCTAATACAAAACTGTGCTGTAAAGCTGTGTGTGTATACCCATGAGCCCATGCTCCTGCTGTCAGTGAGTGTGTGTGTGTGTGTGGTCTGACAATGGACGTCTGCTGACAGGAGTGTCGCCCCTCTGATCGTCCTCATGCACAGAGCTCATTACAGTTTGTGTGGCTCAGTGTGTTCACACACACTCATAACATCTGACTCTGCTGCCGCGCAGGTGAAAAGGTCATGCAAGATGACGAATTCACCTGTGACCTCTTCCGCTTCCTGCAGCTGCTCTGTGAGGGACACAATTCAGGTGCGTCTCACCTGCACACACGTTCATTTACACTTCAGCCTTCATCAGTGTCAAACCATACAGGAGTCAGCTCAGAAAACACAGGGGAAACTGCAATATTGTCAAAGATTTGGGGAATTTAAAGTAACTGTGAATATATTGTAACGTGTGTTTTAGTTCAGTGACATTTATTTAAATAATCATTGTCATAACTAAACTCTCTATAACATCAGAAAGGTCCGACCCTTCCTATCTGAACATGCAGTTCAACTCCTTGTTCAAGCTCTTGTTCTCTCCAGACTGGACTATTGCAACTCTCTACTAGCCGGGCTTCCAGCTAACTCTATCAAACCTCTTCAGCTGCTCCAGAATGCAGCAGCACGAGTGGTCTTTAATGAAGCCAAAAGAGCACATGTCACTCCGCTGCTCATCCGTTTGCACTGGCTGCCAGTTGCTGCTCGCATCAATTTCAAAGCTCTGATGTTTTCCTACAAAGTGGCTTCTGGCTTTGCTCCTTCTTATCTGCTCTCACTTCTGCAGATGTATGTGTCCTCCAGAAACTTGCGTTCTGTGAATGAACGTCGCCTCGTGGTTCCATCCCAAAAAGGGAAGAAATCACTTTCCCGAACTCTCGCATTCAATCTGCCCAGTTGGTGGAATAAACTCCCTAACTGCATCAGAACGGCAGAGTCACTCGCTGTTTTCAAGAAACCTCTTAAAACTCAACTATTTAGTTTCCACTTCCCTTCCTAATCTGCAATTGCCTCTCTGGCTACACCGCTAACTGTATTACAAAAATAATTACTAATGTTTTGCTTCTTACACTTTACATACCTGAAACTTGCCTACAGCACTTATTCATTGTTGCTCTTATAGTTGTGTAAATTGCTTTCTTGTCCTCATTTGTAAGTCTCTTTGGATAAAAGCGTCTGCTAAATGACTAAATGTAAATATAAATGTCATGTGATTCCTCCAAAATCATTCTAATATGGCGATTTCTAATGTAATGTGCATTTATATAGCGCCTTTGGGTGATTTGATTATCTCGAAATATACTTTCAGCTTTAAAAACAGCTCTGCTGCTTCATGTTTTTGTGTAATCTGCTACTTTGGAGCCAGATCAGTCTCAAAAGTAATAAATTTACAAAATAAAATGTATACTGTACATGCACACCACAATTCACATTTACAAAATCCAGTTGGTCAATTTAGTGAATTCACACAAGTAAAAATTCATTCACATGTAAAAATCAAAAATATATTCGCCAAATGAATTGAATTTGTAAGGCAACATGGTGGCTCAGTGGTTAGCACTGGGTCTTGAGTTTGCATGTTCTCCTCGTGTTGGCATGGGTTTCCTAGGGGTGCTCCGGCTCCAGTCCAAACACATGGGCTATAGGGGAATTCGCTTAACTACATTAGCTATAGCTTATGTGTGTGTGTGTGAATGCGAGATTGTATGGGTGTTTCCTTGTACTGGGTTGCAGCTGGAAGGGCTGTGTAAAACTTATTAAATGCACATTATATTACAAATCGTCATATTAGAATGATTTTTGAAGGATCACTTGACACTGATGATGCTGATAATTCAACTATATGTCACTGAAATATATTACATTTACGATTTATTCACAGCTACTTTGAATTCCCCAAATCTTTGATAATGAATGATTGAATTAATTAATTAAATTCGCAAAGTTTTGAACTTACAAGTTGTATTTTGTAAATGTTAATTCTGCTGTGGCTGTATGAACTGTATTTTGTAAATGTATTATTTTTATGACTGATCTGGCTTCATAGATGCATCTTATTTTTCAGGATGCATGGATGAATAAAAAGTTTGAAATAGCTTTTTATTTTTTTTATTTTAAATAGAATACTTTGTAACATTAGCTATGTTTCCATCCAAAGATGTGAATTAGATGTATGCGCAAAACAGCAAAGCAGCGATTCCATCCAGTCAAAGTGAAGAACATCATCACTTCCCGATGAACTGAAGCAAATATCAGACAGACATGAGTAGTCTGCTGCACTGTTGGGATTTGCCACTGTGGTGTTTGTTCTCCTCTAATAAATAAGTTGTCTTTCAGAAGATGAAGATGAAACGCAATTAATATGATGGTTTTTAGAGGCTTAAGACAGTTCTGAAGGGAATAATAATAACAGAATAGTAATATTGAAGCACTGTGATGACAGACTGACAGAGGGCTGAGGCCTTTTACTATCAGCACAACAACATTTTCGATCTGCAACAATGGAAAGCTGGATACATGGAAATATGCAAGCTCAATTAATTTACGCAAAGTCCCTGAAATCAGTCCCTTATATCATCACAGGATCTGTTAACTAAACTAAATCACATGTTTGATGCGCATACTGGTATTTAGTTGGTGAATCTGTTTCCATCGTAGTTTATTCACATTATTTCTTATAAAATAAGGGTTTTTCTTACAAATATGAATTAGAGCATCTTCTTCTGACTACAAAGCCTGTCTTTAATTCATATTTGTAAATACTTTTTGTATTTGTTTCTTGTATTAATAAAAGTCAGGTTTACATTCATTCATTCATTTTCTGCCGCTTTTTCGGAGCTGGGTCACGGGGGCAGCAGTCTTAGGAGAGAACCCCAGACTTCCCTCTCCCCAGACACTTCCTCCAGCTCCTCCGGGGGGATCCTCAAGGTGTTCCCAGGCCAACCGAGAGACATAGTCCCTCCAGCGTGTCCTAGGTCTTCCCCGTGGCCTCCTCCCGGTGGGACATGCCTGGAACACCTCCCTAGGTAGGCATCCAGGAGGCATCTAAAACAGATGCTCGAGCCACCTCAGCTGACTTCTCTCGATGTGGAGGAGCAGCGGCTCTACTTCGAGCTCCTCCAGGGTGTCAGAGCTCCTCACCCTGTCTATAAGAGTGCGCCCTGCCACCCTTCGAATGAAACTCATTTCGGCCGCTTGTATCCGAGATCTTGTCCTTTCGGTCATGATCCAAAGCTCATGACCATAGGTGAGAGTAGGACCGTAGATTGACCGATAAATGGAGAGCTTTGCCTTTCGGCTCAGCTCCTTCTTCACCACAACGGACCGCGGACCGGTACATCAACTGCATTACTGCTGCCGATGCACCAATCCGCCTGTCAATCTTATGTTCAATCCTTCCCTCACTCGTGAACAAAACCCCGAGATACTTAAACTCTTCCACCTGGGGTAATGACTTTCCTCCAACCTGGAGATGGCAAACCACCTTTTCTGGTGGAGCACCATGGCCTTGGACTAAAAATCAGATTTCAAATATTTTAAATGCATTTTTATGCAATATTGTGAAATATACATAAAAGTAAGTAGATGGAAACATAGCTACTGTATTTTTATGTGACACATTTGAATAAAAGAGTTTGTGTGTTTTCTTAAGAATAAACAAATAAATCATGTTTAGCCGAAACCCTATAATAGTGCCAGATCACAGTTTAATCATGATGTGTCCATACGTCAGATTTTCAGAACTACCTGCGAACGCAGACGGGTAACAACACCACGGTCAATATCATCATCTCCACGGTGGATTATCTGCTCAGAGTCCAGGTGAGCCAGTCCTCCATCAGCACATCTGGATCAGATCTAATAGCCCTCCTGAATTATTCGCCCACCTGTATATTTGTCCCTAATTTCTGTTTAACAGAGATTTTTTTCAACACATTTCTAAACATAATAGTTTTAACAACTCGTTTCTAATTGCTGATTTAAATCTCTTTGTTATGATGACAGCACATGATATTTAGTAATAGTAATAATAGTAAGGCTTAACTAGGTTATTTAGGGTAAAGTTAAGGTAATTAGGCAAGTCATTGTATAACAGTGGTTTGTTCTGAAGACAATACAAAACATATTATGGTGAAGGGGCAAATAATATTGACCTTAAAATGGCTTTAAAAAAAATTAAAGCTACTTTTATTCTAGCCGAAATAAAACAAATAAGACTTTCTCCAGAAGAAAAAAATATTGTTGGAAATACTGTGGAAAAATTCTTGAATCTGTTCAACATCATTTGGAAAATATTGGTAAAAAGATGGGTGAGTCGGCGCCAATAGCCTAGTGGTTAGTGCGTCGACACATAGCACCGAGGTGCTCGCAGCGACCCGAGTTCGATTCCCATCTGGAGGTCCTTTGCTGATCCTTCCCCTATCTTTGCTCCCCACACTTTCCTGTCTCTATATCTCCACTGCCCTATCAATAAAGGTGAAAAACCCCGAAAAAAAAAAATTATAAAAAAAAAAAAAAAAAAAAAAAAAAGGGGAGGGTGAATTATTTTGACAACTGTTTATATGACACACGTGTGCTCTATGTGTCCTCAGGAATCCATCAGTGATTTCTACTGGTACTACTCTGGGAAAGACGTCATTGACGAACAAGGACAACGCAATTTCTCCAAAGCAATCAATGTAGCCAAACAAGTCTTCAACACTCTTACAGAGTACATTCAGGTACAGTGCACTTATTTAAACCTGTTATGCCAAAATCACTTTAATAAGGGGTTTAAACACCGTGTTCTGTCAGCAGTGTGTGAATATAGCAGCGCAATCTCACTGCAATTCGTAACTTTTTGCTTTAGTGGCTAATTCATATGAATTCGAACGATCTAATTCGTACAATTTAGTACGATTTGCTCATCCCCCAATGATGGTTGTGATTGTGTGCCACGCCTCCTTTTTAAAATTGTACTTTTTCGTACGAATTAGCCACTTAACTGACAAAACGTAAAATACTTACGTTTCCTCGTGAGATCACTCTGGAATATAGCCATCCTCTAATAGTAAACATGAATTAATTCAGTTTTTTATATAAAAACTTGATAAAAACAGTGATTTGACATTCTCCCTTTGTCTGTGTCATCAGAGGGGGAAAGCCCCGCCCACTAGTGCCCATCTCTCCCTCATTAGCATAAACAGCAGCCCTGAGTGAGAAGCAGCCGTCAGTCCATTCTCCTTTAGACTGTTTGAGCTGCTGAAGATAATGTCAGCATAGACTAAGAGGATTATAGATGTGGAGTTTTAGATGAAGCACAAATGAACGGCGACAGGAGTCTCCATAGACTGACAGAAGCATTAAGCACACACTGACACTGAAGCACACATTTTAACAGGGATATTGTTAGTCCTGTTTTAAATATGCTGTACTGGTGATGCACAGGCATCTGAAAGTCGATTCTGTCAGTATTTTAATTCCATGACAGATCAGCTGATAGACGCATCTTTCAAATGCTCCTGTGTCCATATAAGCCCTTTTGCACACCTGTTAGCATTAGAGCCAATCACAGCCAAATCTGTTGAGCTCGGGAATGCAATAGCCAATCAGCAGTGCTCAAGAATCCACTCAGGAGCACTCGGAATGAACACAGGAACACTTTCACATTATCAAATGTCTGACAGAAGCAAATAGACTGACATATCTCATACAATGACTCTGCACACATTTTGACAGAGATAACATGAGTCAATCTGCTGCTATGATCATGCACAGGCATCTGTAGCTCCGCCCTCTTTTTAAAAGAGCACTCTCATTTTAATTTAAAGCGACAGTCACCAGAACGCCACAATTTGGATTACAGTTTTATGTGTTTGCTTTCAGGGTCCCTGCACCGGGAATCAGCAGAGTCTGGCTCACAGTCGCCTGTGGGATGCGGTTGTTGGTTTCCTGCATGTTTTTGCACATATGCAGATGAAGCTCTCTCAGGTAAATATCAGCTTAATAACATCTGAATCCTAGTTTACCTGCTCTCAGGGCTTTTGCAAGTTAATGTGATATGCTGATGCTGCAGGACTCAAGCCAAATCGAGCTACTGAAGGAGCTGATGGATCTTCAGAAGGACATGGTCGTGATGCTTTTGTCCATGTTGGAAGGTGAGTTGACCAGAGTGAATAAATAGTTCATGATCAGGAACATGTAAACGTGGAAGAAGTGTTGGTACCTTGCTATCGAAGAAAGAAAACCCCACAGTGGTCACTGAAATAACTTGAAACAGAAACAAAAAGTGACGATTAATCAAAAATGGCTAAAAATAAATGAATAAAAATCAGATATTGCTTTTGAAATGTGGATTAATAAAGGCAAACCAATGAAACTCACCTGGACTAAGTAGATGGGTACCAACAATTTTGTCAACATGGCTTTAAAGGGTCTTAAATGACCTTTTAAATTTAAGTTTAGCTCTTAATTTAAGAAAAAAAGCAAGTAGTATCTTGTCATCTGCCATACTGACAAAAAAAGAGGTAAAACCTGAAGAAATGAAAGATTTTAATAGTTAAAGAGTGCATATTTTAAAATGTAGACCAACACATACCTACTTCGAAGGAACAGAAGAGTCCTCTGGTACTGGACTGTCTATCAGCATTTGAATGCTGTATCAATCAGCTGATAGCCACAGATTTCAAACACTGAACTGTTCGCTTTTAGAACTGCTGTAAACCTGTGATCATTAGAGCCAATACCAGTCTTATCTGTTGAGCATATGAACACAATAGCCAATCATTGGTATTCAGAAACCTACTTAGCAGCGCTCAAATTGCAAGCTGGGAATGCTGATATCATCACATTTGTTTTAATTGCCAGTATAAACTGGCAGATGTGGGACTTCTGACAATACTGCCATGTTCCATTATGAACACCTAACTACTGCACAGTCTTACTTGTCTTAGCTTAACTTAATTATTTAGAATCAGCTCTTCTTATAGCATAAGAAAACCCAGTCTCATGAATATTAATTAGACACTGGCCCATCAACGACATATTCACAGTCCCTATGCTACATCAACACCAGTGGCTGTCACTGAAAAATCAATCAATCAATCAATCAACCAATCAATCAATCAATCAATCAATCAATCAATCAATCAATCAATCAATCAATCAATCAACCAATCAATCAATCAACCAATTAATCAATCAATCAATCAATCAATCAACTTTTATTTATATAGCACTTTACCTCAACCAAGGTTGACCAAAGTACTTTACACAAGTAAAAGCAAATTATACCACACAACATAAAAGCATACAATGCCAAACAATACAAAAAATATCAATAAAATACAACAAAAATTAAAACATAGCATTCCAGCACACAGTGTCAGCGCTGTGCATTAAAAGCCATTTTAAACCAACCCAGGCTCATTCTGAAAACGTAGTCCCGTGGACATTTCTGGAGACTGCGAAATACGTCCCAGGAAGTACGTATTTTTGCAGTTTTTGTTTTCGTGAATCCACGACTGTGTGTGCTTTTTCGTATCTCAAATGTCTCACAAGTTCCGTTCATGCCCGTGCTGTTCCTGCGTAAACCCACCAGAGGCCGCTGTTGGTCGACCGTCTATCTGACTGACTGCATGACTGGGCAAGCAGCCAATCGACTGACCCACCCTCCTCCTTCCCTTAACCCAACCAATTTTACCAACGATTTACAAAAGCCGTCCAGAAAAAGAAAATCCCTCGTCTGATTTTTACCACGTTTTCGGATTTTTACCGCAATCCTGTTATTTACACGTTCATTTTATTTTTGGGATTCTGTTTTTGTCTTACCTGATTTCTGGAACTGCTCTTCCGTGGACCCGGTCGCTGTCTTGTGGACAACAAACTTGTTGCAGCAGGAAAGCCCTCCACAAGGCGGTAAGCGGTCAGCCGGTAAGCACCGAAAGTAACGCCGTCATACCGCGCCGCATCGTTCGCTTAAAAAAAATTAAATGCAGCCATACGTACCACCGAGTCATAATTCGCGGCCTCCAGAAACGTCCACTGGACTACGTTTTCAGAATGAGCCTGTGTTGTTTTAAACAAGGGGGTCTTAAGCTTGGCTTTGAAAAGTGGCTGGTCAGTGATTGTACGAAGCTCAATAGGAAGGGTATTCCAGAGTCTAGGACCTGCCACTGCATAAGAGCGGTCACCCCACTGCTTGTATCTTAACTGAGGGATTTCAAGCAGAAATTGGTCAGCAGATCGCAATGCTCTGCTGGGTTTGTGAACAGTGGCGCAAAAAGGGGGTATGCAGTATATGCGGTGCATAGGGGCGCCACACATGGGGGGCGTCATTGTGCCAAAACTATTTTTTTAAATTATCCTTACTAAAAGTTTCAAATAAAAAAAATAAATAAATAAATATGTTTTGTTAAAAATATTTTTTTTTGCATTTTGTATGAGTATAATATTGTATTTTAATAAATAAAAAATTATACCATGAGTTGCATACGTTGGCACACACATTTTAATTCAAAATCAACACAATAACATGCAGTCGCAGAGCCAAGTGTAAAGTGTTCATGTAAATGTAACTTTAGATTTTTTTTTACAATTTTTATCAAAATAAAACTGTCAAATCATACATACAGTACAGTACAGACCTATTTCACATAAACCGATTTTTCAGATAAAATATTTGGATTAAAAATTCACCTATATAAATATTATATACTTGATTATAATGATTCTTAACCCTGTTAAAGTTGACACATGAACAAATTGTCCGAATATTCACATTTTTTGGAACTGAAATGTTTTTAATCCTTCTATCAAAATCCATTTTACACAATATACATGTTTTTATAAATTTATTATGTGTCATATTGATACATCAGGCCTTTTGGTAACTTTTTTTGTTCAAAACTATTTTATTTTAGTTACAAAACTTGAACCCGCATGCCTCTCAGTATATGTGTAGTTGCGCCCCTGTTTGTGAATGTGCAAGTTTCGCGTAAATAAGTAGAAGCAAGGCCATTGACGACATTAAAAACGAACATCAAAAGTTTAAAATCAATTCTAAACGTAACAGGGAGCCGAATTGGTGTACTATGTTCGTTTTTCCGACTGCTAGTTGACATGCGAGCAGCAGGATTTTGCACAAGCTAATGAAGACATGACTGTTAACTCCAACATAAAGTGCATTACAGTAGTCCAAACGCCAACTAACAAAAGCATGGATGACTTTCTCAAGATCACCCTTGCCCAGGCAGGGCTTGACTTTAGAGAGAAGGCGAAGCTAAAACTTGCTTTAAACACAGAATCAATCGATTTTTTTTGAATAAGTGTGAAAGAAATAGATTTAAAACCCAGAGGATGAAATTAGTGGGGAAAAAAGCTTAAAATTAGCCACTTATTCCCTACAACAGTGTTTCCCAACCCTGTTCCATGAGGCACACAAACAGTACATATTTTACATGTCTCCCTTATCTAACCTATTCATTTGTGATTTTGGAGTCTCTTCTAATGCTCTGTTGAGTTGATTCAGTTGTGTTTGATTAGGGAGAGCTTGAAAATGTGTACTGTTGGTGTGCCTTCAGGAACAGGGTTGGGAAACACTACCCTATAATTAAAGCTTCAAGAGTTCACTTAGCTGATGATTGATTATGAAGCGTGTTTGGCATGCTGTCTCGGGAGAGAGCTCTGAGCTCATAAGATCCTCGAGCCCGGGGCTCCCTCATGTTGCAGGGCGAGAGGGGAGTTTGAGCTCAGGTAGATCTGGAGAACTCCCCTGCTGTAGTAGCTAATGAACAGATAGTGATCGCTCTTAAGAGATAACGACTTACTAGGAGCATGTCTATGGTGCTGATTTGGATTAGTCAATTAACTTGCGTTGTAAGTTTTTGGATGGTGGGAGGAAACCGGGGAACACGGGGAGAACGTGTAACGTCCGCAAGGAAATGGCTGGCTTGGTAAGGACTAGAACCAGTGAAGTTCTTGCTGTGAGGCAACAGGGCTAACCACTGAGCCACCGTGCCACCCATATAGGAAAGGAGGAGGAGTAAGGGTGGAAGGGGGGATTCTTCAAAACGAAGATGGCTGTGATACGGAACTTAAGGTATTTATAGTGACTTAGGAATCGTCTGATTGGTCCTCTTGAAATTAGTTTATAAGTAAAGTTCACTAACAGATGCTAATGCTGTCGTAATTAACGTGCAACACACATAAATCTGTTCAAATTTGTTTTTTCATCATGAATAATCCTCTCTTCAATTTAGGAAATGTTGTGAATGGCACTATTGGCAAGCAGATGGTGGACATGTTAGTGGAGTCCTCGAATAACGTGGAGATGATCCTGAAGTTCTTTGACATGTTCCTCAAACTAAAAGACCTGACGTCGTCGGACGCCTTCAAAGAGTACGACCCCGATGGCAAAGGCGTCATTTCCAAACGAGATTTCCACAAGGCAATGGAGAGCCATAAGCACTACACCCAATCCGAGACGGAGTTCCTGCTCTCCTGTGCGGAAACAGATGAGAATGAGCTCTTAGACTACGAAGAGTTCGTCGAACGATTTCACGAACCGGCGAAGGATATCGGTTTTAACGTGGCAGTTCTTCTAACCAATCTCTCAGAGCACATGCCGCATGATTCTCGCCTCCAAACGTTCCTGGAGTTGGCGGAGAGCGTGCTGAATTATTTCCAGCCCTATCTAGGGCGCATCGAGATCATGGGCAGCGCCAAGAGAATCGAGCGAGTGTACTTCGAGATTAGCGAATCGAGTCGCACACAATGGGAAAAACCCCAAGTCAAAGAGTCTAAGCGACAGTTCATCTTTGATGTGGTCAATGAAGGCGGTGAAAAGGAGAAAATGGAGCTCTTCGTGAACTTCTGTGAAGACACCATCTTTGAGATGCAGTTAGCAGCGCGGATGTCTGACGCCGGTGAACGATCCGCTAGCAAAGAGGACAGCGAGAGGGAGAAACCTGAAGAGGAGACTCCAGAAATGGGCTTCTTCTCCATCACCACTGTGAGAACGGCTCTGTTTGCGCTACGTTACAATGTGATGCTGTTAATGAAAGTGCTGTCCATGAAAAGTCTGAAGAAACAAGTGAAGAAGGCCAAGAAGATGACTGTGAAGGACATGGTGACCACTCTGGTGTCCTTCTACTGGAGTGTCCTACTCGGCCTGCTGCACTTTGCATTCAGTGTTGCGCGAGGGTTTTTCAGGATCATATACAACAGCTTTCTTGGAGGGAGTCTCGTAGAGGGAGCAAAGACCATGAAGGTGTCGGAGCTCCTGGCCAACATGCCTGACCCGACACAAGATGAGGTGAGAGGAGAGATGGAAGATGGCGAGAAGAAACCTGTGGATAAAACTTCACCTGAGGAAGACCTGGCCGACCTGACTGTAGCCACCGATGAAACAGATCTGCTGTCTGATATCTTTGGTCTGGATCTGAAGAGAGAAGGAGGACAGTATAAGCTGATGCCTCACAATCCCAACGCCAGCCTGACGGATCTGCTCAACACACCCGTCCCTCCGCCACCCACACCCTCACCTGAACTCCGCAGACGACACCATGTAAGGGATTTGATGATGTTATTAAGTAATATTGTATCCGGAAGTACGGTTTTAACACCAGTGTTGTTGGTTCTGTCAGACGAAGGGCTCTTCCTCTTCAACGGACAACAATGATGCTGCAGAGGAGACCAAATCAGTGCCTGAGAAAGCGGAGTAAGTCTTGATGATGTTATCATGTCATATTAAACTTGTCTCCACAGCTCTAATCGATTGTGTGTACTACTGACCTATATGTTTGGTAGACCCACAACATTCTCATTGCTGCACTCTAAAAAATTTGTGGTTATTTTTTCTACCCAAATATTGGGTTGAGGCATTTGGGTAATTTTTGGGGGTCTTGGGTAGTTTTAACCCAGCTCTTTGGGTCAAATCAACTCTGGGATACCACATATTGTGTACTAATTTGTTTAAATGCAATGAAAATAGTGTAACACAAACACAGATTCCTTGCGTTTTCAGATGATTAAAATGAGATTCATGGCCATAGCAGCCCTTAGTCAGCCTTTCTGAAATAATTTCTTACTACCTTTTGTACACCTGTAATCAAAGCTGCACACCCCCCACCGTACTTCAGTGATGCCGAGTCAAAACCACACAATTGCTGGGTCATCTTTCGCAGGCATTTTTAGATTAAATTAACTTATTATTTAAAGGGTCACGAAACACCAGAGCACATGTGTTGAGCTGTTGACAGTGGTATATGTGTCTCACACTGCTATAAACACTATTAGGACACCTATATTTCACTAAAAAGTGTAAATTGGTTGTTTTTGCGTTATTTCAAGCAAATTCGTACTTCCGGTTTGAAACTAATTTTTGAAGCTGCGTCACGGTCATGACATAACAGCGTGTATTCCAGCCTGCAGACTGGACGTCTGTGCCAGAGTGTGTCTTATTACATCTTACAGTGTGATGCATTAATGCATGAGTAAAGCTTGGTTTAAACCAATCAGCGCGCTCTATTGTGCAACTTCATTAATATTCATTACTGTCACAGTGTTTAGACGACAGAGACGCCACGTTGTGTTGGCAAAACAAGCGTGAAGTGTTGCTTTTATAGTTTGCAGTGTGCTGGGAGCACTTTTAACTTAGCTTAGCATAGATCATTAAATCGGATTAGACCATTAGCATCTCCCTCAAAAAATGACCAAAGAGTTTTAATAATTTTCCTATTTAAATTTTAACTCTTCTGGCGTAGTCTCTACTGAGTTTATCACACATAGTTTATCAGCAATACTATTAGAGAAAACTCCACATCCAGATCTGTTTTTACATTACTTTGTTGTTTAGGGTTGGGGTAGGGGTAGACATAAGAAATACAATTCATTCATTCATTCATTTTCTTTTCGGCTTATTCCCTTTATTAATCAGGGGTCATCACTGTGGAATGAACCGCCAACTTATCTAGCATATGTTTTACACAGCGGATGGCCTTCCAGCTGCAAGCCATCACTGGGAAACACCCATACACACTCATTCACTAGGGACAATTTTAGCTTACCCAATTCACCTATACTCATGTCTTTGGACTTGTGGGGGAAACCAGAGCACCCGGAGGAAACCAACGCGAACTGGGGAGAACATGCAAACTCCACACAGAAACATCAACTGACCCAGCAGAGGCTCGAACCAGTGACCTTCTTAATGTGAGGCGATTGTGCCACCCACTGCGCCACCGTACAAAAATACAATTAATGTGAAATTTAATAAATGATCTAAATAATTCTCGTTAACATCCGACTGCAGCTGTGTGTGATCTATAGGTGATTAACCATGCGGATGGATGATAACAGCCTTCTGAGCCTACTACTGGCTCATATTTATCCGCTGATATCCACTGATAACATCCATTCAATCGAGTGATAACATTTGAATCTGCTGCACGAGGAGAACATGCAAACTCCACACAGAAATGCCAACTGACCCAGCCAGAACTCGAATCAGCGACCTTCTTGCTGTGAGGGGACAGTGCTAACTTGTTGTTTGAAAGAAAAAGAAAAACAACAGATGTTGTGATTATCATATTTTCATGAGTTTTTATTTATGCTCCTTTGTAGAGGTGAAAATGTAGAGAAAGCACAGAAGAAGAAGGAGGAAGCGGTGAAGCGGAAGGTCAGACAGCACTATGAGCCGGATCTACAGGAGTCGGCCTTCTGGAAGAAGATCATCGCTTACCAACGCAAGCTGCTGGTCAGAGCTGCCACATCTTGTGTTTATGCCTCATAATGTCCTGCTGTGTGCACGAAATCAGACGCTTCATAGAGCCACGTCTGACACTGTGTCTCTCTCTTCTCCTGCAGAACTATTTTGCACGAAATTTCTACAACATGAGAATGTTGGCGTTGTTTGTGGCCTTTGCGATTAACTTCATTCTGCTGTTTTACAAGGTAAGTCACGCTTTAGTGTTTCGTTATGACATGACTTAAGAGATACTTCAACCCAAAATGAAAACTCTGCCATCATTTACTCACCCTTCACTTGTTTAAAACCTGTTTGAGTTTCTGTTTTCTGTTGAGCACAAATGAAGATACAGATGAAAGCAGAAGTTTACACACACTATAAAAAGGCACATAACCATTTACAAAGAGTCAGATGTTAATGTGACTAAGCTTTTTCTCTTTTAGGTAAGTTATGATGATCACATGTGTTTCTGTTCTGATTAACAGCAGAATAATGAGAGAGATATTGTTTGAGAAAATGTTAAAACTCTTCTTGAAAGTCAAGTTTACACACAATAATATTATTCTGCCTCTGAAAAAGCTCAGATGATGATGTCAAGGTTTTGGAAGTGTCTGATTGGCTAATTGACAACATTTGAGTTAATGTGAGGCACAACTGTAGAATAGTGTTGAAGGAAAAGCTCAAACACACTGCTTCCTTGTGTGACAACATGGAGAATCAACAAGCCAGAATCAACAACAAAGCCAGATTACCATTAGCTCAATCACACTGGGAAAAGACTCATGTTTGGAGACATGTCCTGTGCTCTGATGGAGCTAAGATTGAACTGTTTGACCATAATGAGCAGTGATACATTTGGAGGACAAAGAGGAAAGCGCACAAGCCTAGAACACCATCCCAACTGTGCAGTATGGGGGCGGCAGCATCATGTTGTGGGGCTGTTTTGCTGCAGGAGGGACTGGTCCACTTCACAGCATAGCCGGCATCATGAAGAAAGAACATTATGGAGAAATACTGAAGCAACATCTCAAGACATCAGCCAGGAAATTACAACTTGGCCACAAATAGGACTTCCAAACAGACCATGACCCTAAGCACACTGCCAAATTAGTTCAAATGTGCTTTAAGGAGAACAGAGTGAATGTTTTGGAGTGGCCATCATAAAGCCCTGATCTCAATCCTGTAGAAAATGTGTGGGCAGAGTTGAAAAAGCTTGTGCGAGTGAGACAGCCTACAAATCTGACTCAGTTACAGCAATTCTGTCAGGAGGAATGGGCCAAAATTCCTGCAAACTACTGTGAGAAGCTTGTGGAAGGAGACCCAAAACATTTGACCAAAGTTATACAGTTTAAAAGCAAAGCTGAAAAATACCAAGTAACCAAGTGTGTAAACTTTTGACTGGCTAGAAATTAATACAAAATTCTCCAAAAAATATTCTCTTATTATTTTGGCATTTAGCAAATGTAAATGATTTAGGTAATCCTAACAGACCTAAAATAGTAAACGTTTAATATGATTTACCATTAGACATTTAAAAAAAATTGGTTATGTTCCTTTTTTTAGAGTGTATGTAAGCGTCCGGTTTCAACTGTATTTTGAGGAATGCTTGTTGTGTGCACCCATTGACATCCTTAGTAAGTCCTAGTAGTCCCAGTAACCAGCATTCTTCTATATCTAATTTACTTCTATATCTTATCTTATTTTTGTGTTCCATGGAAGAAACTCATAAAGGTTTAAAGCCACATGGAGAATAAATGATGAGGTCATTTCTATTGTTGGGTGAACTGACCCTTTAGTGTTTACTTAAGAAACTTAATTTACTTATTTATTCTTGGTGGAATATTTAAGCACACCCTCTGATTTACCACAATATCACTTAACATTGTAATAAAAAGTAATAAAACACTCACGTCTCAGAAATCCTTTTGAATTCATAAGATGATGAATCAAAGTGTTTCCCTTGTTGTGTATTTTATGCATCATATGGTCAAACAACCTTCTGGTCAAAGGAGGGCAATGCCAAATTAAATGCATAAGCTGAAAATAAACAGATAGGTATTTTTTATTTGTGTAGATGCAAATGTATTTATTGTTATACGCTCACCGGCCACTTTATTAGGTACACTTTACTATTTGAAACAGGTTGGACCCCTTTTGCCTTCAGAACTGTCTTAATCCTTCATGGCATAGATTCAACAAGCTACTGGAAATAATCCTCAGAGATTTTGCCCCATATTGACATGATAGCATCACACAGTTGCTAATCTCTTGTTCCACCACATCCCAAAGCTGCTCTATTGGATTGAGATCTGGTGACTGTGGAGGCCATTTGAGTACAGTGAATTCATTGTCATGTTCAAGAAACCAGTCTGAGATGATTCACAGTTTATGGCGCATTATTCTGCTAGAAGTAGCCATCAGAAGATGGAGAAACTGTGGTCATAAAGAGGTGGACAAGGTCAATTATACTCGGGTAGGCTGTGGTGTTGACACGATGCTCAATTGGTACTAATAGGCTCAAAGTGTGCCAAAAAAATTATACCTTTACACCACCACCACCACTGGATGTTTTCTCTGCTTCTGACCATTCTTTATTAAACCATAGAGATGGTTGTGCATGAAAATCCTAGTAGATCAGCAGTTTCTGAAATACTCAGACCAGCCTGTCTGGCACCAACAACCATGCCACGTTCAAAGTCACTTAAATCCCCTTTTTTCCCCATTCTGATGCTCGCTTTGAACTGCAGCAGATCATCTTGACCATGTCTACATGCCTAAATGCATTGAGTTGCTGCCATGTGATTGGCTGATTAGAAATTCACATTAACAAGCAGTTGGACAGGTGTACCTAATAAAGTGGCCGGTGAGTGTGTATATATTTATAGTTATCTCCGGCAGCCCAACACAGTTCTGGTTAATGCTGACGGTCAATGTTTGTTTGTGTGTGTGCAGGTATCCACATCCTCTGCCGTGACGGAGGGGAAGGAGGTGTTGTTCAGCGCGTCCTCAGACACCAGCGTGCAATGGGATCCTCTGAGCGGCTCCAGCTCTCGGCCCGTCACTGTTCACTTTGTGCTGGAGGAGAGCAGCGGCTACATGGAGCCCACGCTGAGGATCCTTGCCATCCTGCACACCGTCATCTCCTTCTTCTGCATCATCGGCTACTACTGCTTAAAGGTCTGTCAGATCCCTGCTTCGCTGCCGTCAGAAATCTTCATTCCGTGAGAGTAAACCTACGCTGACCGTATTTCAGTTTGCAAAAAAAGGACCAGAGGGAAGGTGGTGATTGTCAAATGCGTTCACAACCATGACACTGGTCCTGAACTTTTAATGACACCCTTTCCAACATTTGGCGCGCAACAATAGAATAATAACGGTTACAATTAATTTTGAGCAGCCTTAACTACTATGAACTTGAATTAAAAAATAAATACAATGGACTCACTGTGTTCATAATGTATTGCAGAACACTTCTGGTGGTCTTGAGGTGGGATGCGGCTAGGATTGTGGGCAGGTTTGGTGGTAATACGTCATCAGAATATTTGTTAGTGCTTTTCTGGATGTCTCCTGAAGGCTGATGATTTGATTGTGCTGTTTGACAGATGCGAGCAGAAGCGCTGCCCTCTATTATTCACACAAGACACATTTCAGCTCAACTGGATCCTCATAATGAAAGCAAGACATCAAGTTTCATTTATTCTAATCAAATCCAGTTATTGAAACAATAAACCTGGCAGATTTACATAAAAGATGAAATGCCCGGCAGTGTCGGTCGTGAGGGCTTTCAATAAATGCTCCAGTTATTATTTATAAGGTGCTGTTAGTAGGAACGGAATATGAAATAATCAGAGTATATATATATATATATATATATATATATATATATATATATATATATATATATATATATATATATATATATATATATATATATATATATATATATATATATATATATATATATATATATATATATATATATATATATATATATATATATATATATATATATA